GTGAGTAGAGAGAGACACTGACGAGGTGTTTACAAAGACACACACACAGACAAAGGTCCCCCGTGTAGCCTCAACAGGCTGCAGGGGCAAGTGCTGTTAGCGAGTAGCACGGTGGCACACGAGGGGGGGGTGGCCGGCACCACGCCCGGCCGCCTTTGTCTCCCCGGTGGCGACGATGTTTACTACACACGGCTGCACCAGGTACTCGTTTGAGGCTGAGTCGACCTAGAGGGGAGGAGGCCCAGGAACCGGTTCGGAGAATCGTCGCCGAAGTTGGCGGTGAGCGGGAATCGAACTCGGGTCGCCGAGTTTTGTAGCGAGCGGAGCGCTAACCCCCCCTCCCTACTCTGCCGGCTCGCCACACACACAGACACACACACAGACACACACACACACAGACACACACACACAGACACAGACACACACACAGATGCACACACACAGACACACACACAGACACACACACAGACACACACACAGACACACACACACAGACACACACACAGACACACACACACACAGACACACACACACAGACACACACACAGATACACACACACAGATACACAGACACACACACAGACACACACACAGACACACACACAGATACACAGATACAGACACACACACAGACACACACAGACACACACACAGATACACACACAGACACAGACACACACACAGACACACACACAGACACACACACAGACACACACACAGACACACACACAGATACACACACAGACACACACACTGACACACACAGACACACACACACAGACACACACAGACACACACACAGATACATACACAGACACACACAGACACACACAGACACACACACACAGACACACACACACAGATGCACACAGACACACACAGACACACACACAGATACACACACAGACACACACACAGACACACACACAGATGCACACAGACACACACACACACAGATACACACAGACACACATACACACACAGACACACACAGACACACACACAGATACACACACAGACACACACAGATACACACAGACAGACACACACACACAGATACACACACACAGACACACACAGACACACACACACAGACACACACACACAGATGCACACAGACACACACACAGACACACACAGAGATACACACAGACACACACACAGATACACACACACAGATACACACACACAGACACACACAGACACACACACACAGATACACACTCAGAGACACACACAGATGCACACAGACAGACACACAGATACACACAGACACACACATACACACAAACACACAGATACACACAAACACACAGATACACACACAAGATACACTCACAGATACACACACACAGATACACAGACACACACAGACACACACAGACACACATACACACAGACACACAGATACACACAAACAGATACACACACAGATACACACACAGATACGCACACACATACACACACACACAAACACACACACAGATACACACAAACACAGATACACACACACAAACACACATATACACACTAACACACACACAAACACACACACAAATACACACACAAACACACACACAAATACACAAACACACAGACACAAACACACACAAACGCACACACAGACACACACACAAACGCACACACAGACACACACAAACACAAACACACACACAAACACACACGGACACACACGGACACGTACGTACAATCCGTGAGCCATCAACAACAAGGGAAGTTGCCGTTTGGCGGTGACATCAGCCCGGCACTTGTGCCAAGCGAGGTGCACTTTGAGGCCACGTGAAGTTTGGCAGCAGGTCACGAGGCAGACCCACACCGGGTGTCGTGGGTTGACTCACTGAGATCACTGGCAGATGCACCACCACCTGTGTTCTTCCCCTACTGTGCCAACTCGCTGTGGTTTAGCCGCCCGGAGCTTCGCTCGTTGTTGTGAGCGTCGCTCCTCCACCCTCCGTTGTTGTTGTTGGAGGGCGACTGCCTCCAACTGCCCAGTAGCGTCCTTCACGAGCCTCCTCCTCCACAGAGGCCGATCTTGACACCGCTGGTACCGGTCATCGGCAAGTCCACTCAGCTCCACATCCTCCTGTACCACATCACTCCATCTCTTCTCTAGCCCGTGTCACTCACCCACTCACCCATCACTCCATCTCTTCTCTAGCCCGTGTCACTCACTCACCCGCTCACCCATCACTCCATCTCTTCTCTAGCCCGTGCCACTCACCCACTCACCCATCAGCTCCGTCTCTTCTCTAGCCCGTGTCAATCACCCACTCACCCATCAGCTCCGTCTCTTCTCTAGCCCGTGTCACTCACCCACTCACCCATCACTCCATCTCTTCTCTAGCCCGTGCCACTCACCCACTCACCCATCAGCTCCATCTCTTCTCTAGCCCGTGCCGTGCCTGTCCAGCCCCCTCTATGTGGCCAAATAGGATCTTTTTGGGCATGCGGTGGCTGGGCATGCGGGCTACATGACCCAGCCAACACAGCCTTGCCTGCCGGAGTAGCTCACTGATGGGACTGTGTCCAGATCTTTCAAGTGTCTGTGAGCTCCTCACACAATCCAGCCTGCAGGTTACACTCAGGATGGGTGGTAGGAAGGCCACACACTGTGGCCGAATACACCCGAAGCTTTGCATGGAGCGACAGGCCAGGTAGCTTCCACACAGCGTTACGCGGCTGATTAGCAATATAATACCGCTCGACTGACTCGAAATGAGACCTCTGCTGCCAAACCGTTGAGCACGGTGGGCTACGTACGGTGCGAAAGAAAGTTCAACGTACGTACCGTACATACGCATACTGTCCACGAATAGGAACCCCTCCAATCTCTCCACAACTGCCCCATGACGCATGGGGAGTCGAGGGGGGGGGTGTAGATTTTGATGGCTATAAACTTCCAAGTTCAGGTCCTTTGTCTTGTTGGAGATGATGTCGAGGTCCTCTCGCTTCGTGGCACGCTCCAGGTTCAGCAGAACAGCCTCCCGCTGATCAGAGGGAGCAGCGATCGCCAGATCGGGAGCACACGCAACATCAGAATTAGAAGAATCAGAAGATGTATTAATACTGGGGGAATCCTATGAGCTATAAAGCTGTTGTTGACATGTCCAGTAGGGGCGTGTTAGAACGTTACCACAACAAACGATGCAGCAACACGATAGCAGTGCAAAGTTTCAGAAAGGTAAGCAAATCCCCCCAAAAATACACATTAAACGAAACAATTTTTATTTGACCAGGTGAAGCCCACTGAGCTATTAGCTTCCTTTTTAGAAGCGACCTGGCCACAAATGAATCTCCTTAGCATGTGGAAATTTATAGCAGCCAACTTATTTGAATAATCAAAACATGGTTCGCCAATAGGGAGGCATCCCTTTGCTGTACCCGGCCACCGATCAGCGTCCCACTGTATCTGTTGTAACAGACGGAAGTTCCTCCGGCACAGCCAAACAAAATCTTCTCAAAATACGCGGTCAAAAAATATGTTGAGTGGCGTAGGAGTCGGTGGAAGTCCCTGTCGCACCGCAGAGCGAACAGGAAATACAACTAAACCACAAACTACCAGGGAAGGTCCACTGAACTGAGTAGCTTTTTCGCATGAGCGATCTGGCCATCGCAAATGATAGCTCAACGAAGATGCTCATCATGTGCAAATGTGTAGCAGCAGCCGAATAACTCTAAACGTGCATTTCTAAATGTGGAGGGACTAACCAGAGGACCCGGAGAAAAATCCACGCAACCACCGGGAGAGAGACACCGCTAACCCCAAATATACAGCAGCAGGCGCCGGGGTCAGGATTGAACCCACGACCTCCTGCATACCAGGCGAGGTAGCAAACATTTGTCCACCGCAGCGCCCAAAATGGCTCTGACCTCCAGGCCACGGAGCTTTACAAAGGTCCTGAACGATTGTGAGAAGAGACTACAAAGGACCCCAAAGGCACCAAGTAAAAAAAAAACACCCTAAGTTCTGGCCTATTGATAGTATCATAGTCCTTGCCCAGGTCAGTGACGCAGAGACGTGGGGCCTATTAGAATTCCCTTGACCTCTGCAGAAACCGGCGTTCCTGTTGAGTAGTCGTTGCCAGGACCTCAGCTTACCGAGGAGGAAGATGCCCCGGTAAGTTGTGGCAATCATTGCGGTTCCCTTTCTTACAAAAGGAGGGACCGCCAGGGCATCCTGCCAATGCCGCAGAACCTGTCCTGTGGTCCATGTGGTTGTCATGATGTCAAACAGGGTGTCCTGCACACAAACGCCACCTCTTCCTCGGCACTTTTGTTTGGTTTTGGGGTCTGGATCGCCCTTCGAACTTCCTCAGGAAAGGGCACATCACCCTGTCACTCACGGGTGATGGGTACTTCCTCCAGTATTTGAGGTTCTGCGGCCCTAGCGGGGTCAACCCCACCTTGTGCCGTGATGTTATCTGGGTCTGAGGGTTTCCCCTCCCCCAAGACCTCAGAGAAATGCTCAGCAAACCTGAAAACCTGTTCCTGAGGGTCACAGTTCAGATGGCCACTCTCGACGTTAAGGATTGTCATCGGTGTGGTGCTGCAAGTCACTTTCGTGATGGAATGAAAGAGTGATTTGTGGTAGCGAGAGAGTTGGGGGCGGTGGGGGGGCTGCTATCGATGATCAAACTCTCACTCACAACTTTGCACAGCTGGCTGACACCAGGCTACTGTGGGTTTGAGTGGGGGTCCGATGTGGACACCCACCACCGCAGTGGAAGAATTACTGGCGCAGCTTACAGATGACAAGCCGATGGTCATTGGGAAGATCATCTCCGTGATAGGCCACGGTGTCAAGGACAAGGACCTGCATTCGCTGTTCTGTCACTGCATAGTCCAGCCGATGTTCCTGCTCGGATCCGGCGTGTATCCTCAATGTTGTGTGGATGCGCCGATGCTGGGAAACAGCGTGTTGGTGATTAAAGGATCATGGGCTGCACAGAAGTCTAGCAGCCTCCTCGCGTTGTTATTGA